ATTAATAATAATAATAATGATTAAAATAATGATGATAACAAGAACAATAATAATACGTAATTAGTAATATTAGTATAGCATAGATCCCAAGCTCAAACGCAAGATAATATGCTCCACAATTTATTTATATCACATTTTTCAATCTATTTTACACTCAGAAAAAAACTAAAACATTCTCGTCTTCCCTGGAAACTTTAAGTGTAAGCCGCTGACTTAGCACTCAAACACAAACTGGGAAGATGGTTCGCTTTCTATAGTCGGTTCCTATTCCCTGGATGGAATGGGGAAAAGTCGTGTAAAGTGCTTTCCTAAGGACACAATGTTGGACCATGACAACAGCCTAACAACTAGGCCACTAGGTATACACCGCATACTATCTGAACACGTTCATTATAACGGTAATAAAATGCCTTAAAAATAGCAATCAAATAGTGATTATGTAGAAATACTGAAGAAAATGGACAAGCGGGCTAACCCAGATTTCGCTGGTTTCCAGAAATCTTGACCTACACCAAAAGTAGACATTATTCTACCTATAGGAAAAGTTTGGTTTCATTGGCGTGTATATATTTGTTTGGTTATAGAGAATACTCTCCTTGTCTTTGAAAGAAACTGAACAAGGGCCAAAAATTTTACCTTCGATTTTCTCAAAACAGCATTTTCCGGGATAGCCCCTTTGTCCTTAATAGCGACCATATAATGTAACGTGAAACAATTTAAAAAATAGTGTTTTAGCCATGTACATGACACTGTATTTGTCAGTACTCAATCAAGCCATAACGAACCAAGAAGCTCATCTTTGCGGAAGATGTAATATTTTCCTATCGTCTTTATTACATCATAACTGTTCAACAGATGGTCCTTGACTGTTTTTAAACAAATGATTCCATGTAAATACGTAGAGTAAGTCACCCATTGAGACATATTTCATTTTTTCCTCACCACTAGTTGTTAGAGGATGTCACTGTGAAGTGCACCTCCTTTTCATTTCCTCTATTGCTCTATTGCTCCTGTCCGCCTGTCTGTCTGTCTGTCTGTCTGTCTGTCTGTCTGTCTGTCTGTCTGTCTGTCTTTTTTGCTTTTTTTCCTGCACGAAATGATCCATATTTTGTTGATGTGCTTCTCTTACCCATAAGAAACAAGCAAACAAACGTTATTATATAGTTCATCATTTACACTGCAAACCGTTGCCATATTTCTCATAATGCGTAACTTCAGATGTTTTTAAAATTTTCTTCTTTGTCTATTCACCCAGAAAGAGGATTCCACGTCGTTTACTCAGAAATTTTGCTATAGATATGCTCATAGACAAAACAACTTAGAAAACCGAACTACATGTACATATTTCGATTAAGTTCTGTGTTTCAATAAGTGTGCCGATGAAATGCAAGATTTTAAAAATTAAAGTGTAGATGTTTTCACACGGTCATCGACATATTATTTTAAATCATTCTAAAGGTGGGTTTTACCGTCCCAGCAGAAAGACCGAGATACTTGATAAACACGCGAATTTAGCTTGGGTCTTCAGCGTACAGTGTGTCAAGGAACCTGGTCCAAGGTGTTGAAAATCTGCAGAATTCACTCACAGAAAGTATTGAGGTGTTCTCACCGTATAAAACTTTCTGTTTGCAAGTTATTTCTAGTGTTTATTCGATCAGTTCCGGAGTCACTGTAACCTCTTTTTCGTCTTGAAAAGTGTTCAAGACACACATGAATTTTTTTTTTTTACAGAAACGCCAGTTATACAATGCTCAGAGCTATTCACTGAAGACGCAAAATTTTAACAAGGTGGCGTTGACGAGTGCTCTGGTGTGGTTTGATTTTTCTTTCTTATAAAAAAGATGTCGTCCTTATCTCTCCTTCATTTTTGCGTTTGTTACTCTCTCGTAACACCTCTAATCTTCACCACTTATGTGGCCTAATTGCCATAAAACTCTTAGTAAAACAAAACAAAACAAATCAAAACAAAACAATAACAGCAAAAACGAAACTTAAACGGTCCCTCAATCAATCAGATAGCGACTAAAGTAACAAGAAGAAAAAGAAGTAGAGGAAGCAGACTGCACTAGAACATCTACGAACTAACAGCTGTTCTTAAGGGGATTTTCCTTTTTGCGTTCTCAAGCAGCGGCAGCAGCAGCTCTTGATCTGAAACTCTCATTGGTGTTTGTTTTGTTTTGAGCCAGAGAAAATAATACAAAGAAAGAACAGGTGTGTGTGTGTGTGCCCCGCCCCCTCGTGCTACCTGAGGCATAGAATCATAGAAACACACCTGGGGGTCGTTATAATAATTGCTAACGGGTGGTCCATGGGATGGCTCTCTTTTCCAGGTTTGACCTGTAAAGATGTTTGGTGTGTGTGCATGAGGATTTATTGTGTGCCCGTGTTTTGGGGAAGGCAGGGACGGGGGCGGCGAGGAGAGA